ACTTATTATACCGATATTCAAGAAGGGAAACAAGTCCTCGTGTGATAATCATAGGGGGATCAGCCTAACGAACATAGTCTCTAAAATCCTAGGCTCAGTAATCATGCATAGACTAAGCAGAACTCGGGAGGAACAGACAAGGGAAAATCAAGCAGGCTTTAGACCAGGTAGAGGGTGCATAGATCATATCTTCACTCTTCGACAGATTCTAGAACATAGACACACTTTTCGGCGTCCAACAATTGTCATATTTCTTGACTTGAAGGCGGCCTTCGACTCCGTGGATCGAAAGGTACTATGGCAATGTCTGACTGTGAAGGGAGTGCCAAGAAAGTACATTGCACTAATCAAGGCACTCTATTCAAACTCACGTAGTCGTGTAAGGGCTTATGGGGAATTGTCATCTGAATTAGTAACAACCAGTGGTGTCCGACAGGGATGTCCACTTTCCCCATTTCTGTTTAACTTCATCATAGATATGCTAATGGAAGTATCCTTAACTGAACGTAGTGACTTAGGAATCGACTTGTTACCAGGGAATAATCTAATGGACTTAGAATATGCAGATGACATAGTCCTGTTAGGGGAGGATGCTGACAAAATGCAGAGTCTTCTGAACACCTTGAGCAGCAATCTTCGTATGTTTGGCATGCGATTCGCCCCTGCAAAATGTAAGATGCTGCTACAGGACTGGACCACGTCAACCCCTAACTTAGTGATAGGGAGTGAAGTGATAGAACATGTTGACCACTTCACCTACTTGGGAAGTTGTATTAGCACCAACGGACTGATTGGCGATGAAATCTCAGCACGGATCCGAAAAGCTCGAGCTGCTTTCGCTGACTTACACCATCTCTGGCGTAGGCGTGACATCCGGTTATCAACCAAGGGACGTGTGTACTGCTCATCAGTTCGCTCCGTCCTTCTCTATGGCTCTGAAACATGGCCAATACGCGTTGAAGACATGAAAAGGTTGACTGCTTTCGATCATAGATGTCTGCGATCTCTGTCTCACGTTAGGTGGTTTCACAAGATAAGTAATGTTGACGTTAGGCGTAGAGTGTTGGGCAAAGAGGGAAAATCAATCGACGAGGCTATAAAGTTACATAGACTAAGATGGCTAGGTCACGTGCTGCGCATGCCTAACCACCGCCTCCCCCGACGGGCATTGCTAGCTGATATAGGTTCAGGTTGGAAAAGAGCCAGTGGTGGCCAAACAAAAACATGGCATCAATCCATGAAATCCTTGACAGTTAAACTGAGTCAGGTAGGGAGATGCAGACTCCCGGGTTGGGGCCCTCGGGACTCTAGGAATCAATGGCTGGAGACAATAGGTGACATGGCTCAAAATCGTTGTCAATGGCGCAGATGTATTCAATCTCTGTAATCTTTCATATTCCTTTCTACCATTACCCATTCTGTTTCACTCTTATATTTGTCAAACTCTATTAATTCTCTTCACTCATCTTCTTGTCTACCTCTGTGTGCTATTTGGAACGTGGCAACTCGAACTGCTGCACTTCGGTGCCAAGTTCTATGTTGAATCCAGACAGACAGACAGACTCTTGAACCGACCATCACCTGCAACCCGTCCAGAAATACCAACAACAGCGCGCACAAAACTGCAAGTTGACACCAATCCCCCAACGAAAGCTGAAGTCTTGAATGCAATCAAGCTTCTGAAAGTTGGAAGAGCAGCCGGACCAGATGGAATACCCCTGAAGCACTGAAAGCGGACCCAGAGATGACTGCAGACATGCTGACTCCACTGTTGCAAAAGGCCTGCAAGGAGGGAAAGGCGCCTACTGACTGGAGGAAAGGTTACCTCATGAAACTACCACAGAAGGGAGACTTAGGACTCACTCTGCAAAAACTGGCGAGGAATCATGCTCCTATCGACGCCAAGTAAAATCCTGAATCACATCATCCTGAAGAGATTGAAGGACGCACTGGTAACAGAACTCCGACCAGAACAAGCTGGATTCAGGAAAGTCAGGCAAATCATGTACTGACCAAATTGAAACTCTACGCATCATCATCGAACAAATCATGGAATGGCAATCAAACTTCTACCTCAACTTCATAGACTTTGAGAAGGCCTTCGACAGAGTTGACCACGAAGTAATTTGGAAATTACTCGAGTACTACAGCGTACAGTGCCCCAAATATTCATCAACCTTATTCAACAGCTGTACGACAACGCCACATGTCAAGTTATCCACAACGGAAGACTCAGCAAGGCGTTTGGAGTAAACACAGGAGTCAGACAAGGGTGCTTACTATCACCAATAAGTAATATCTCAATTGTGGTGGACTGATTGGATTATGCGTCAGACAGTGGGAAACGAGAAGACAGGAATATCCTGGAACCACGTGAAGAACCTAGAAGACCTGGATTTCGCGCGTGGATGATTTATGCTTGATGTCACACAAAATCGAAGACTTACAAGCGATAACCGACAAACTGGTCGAAGAAGGAGCCGGCGAAGACAGGACTCCAGGTAAACATAAACAAGACGGAGGTTATGAAAATAACCAACCAACAACAATAGCAGCAGCAACATCCAGCGCCAATCACCATCAACAAGAGGGATTTGAAAGAGGTTAGTTACTTCATTCACTTATCTAGAGAGCATTGTCTCAACTACAGGAGGAGCGGACGAGGATGTCAAGTCCAGCGAGAATCGGGAAGGCGAGAAACAAATTCATAAACCTGAAACCAATCTGGAGATCTTCGTCACTCAGCATCAACAACAAAATTCAGTCAGATTTTCAATACAAACGTAAAGTCAGTCAGTTCTTCTATACGAATCATAAACTTGGGAGGGAAGTGGGTCACAAAGAATATTTCCAACAGCCTGTTGCAGACCTTTATTAACAACTGTCTTCGCTGGCTCTATACTGAAGATCAGATGGCCGGAAAGAATCGCCAAGAAGAAACTATGGGAACAAACTAAACAAGAACCAATCATCGAGCAAATATGCAGGAGAAAACGGAGATGGATTGGACACTCGCTGAGGAGGCTGGTTGGTGACATCGCGCATCAGGCCATTGCCCGAGGGGAACCCGAAAGGGAAGCGGCGAGCGGGACTTCGGTGCAAGTGTGACATGGAGGAGATTGTGTGAAGAGGAGTATGGACTAACATGGATGCAGGTGAAAAGTACAGCAGAAGACAGAAGCAAGTGGAGACGTGCAGTTGAGACCCTATATTCCACTAGGAACCCAAGGGAGCAATAATAATAATAAATTACTATTCGGTGAATAACGAGACCAAGCAATATATATATATATATATTAGGCGTCACTATATTACGTTTATGGTTAGTTTTAAGGTGGGGATTAGAGCTAAGTTTGGGATCGAGATTAGGGTGAAAGTATTTTTCTTTTATTATCTGCATCTTTTCTAGTGAATAGCTGTCGACTCTCTGACCACAACCCATCCATACTAATTCAATCGAGGGGCTTTTTGAAAAAAAACTGGAAAACAGGTTAGGACGAATAAAGGAGTCAGTCATAAAAAGACCTCGTCTTCAGTCACATCGATGAATACATGTAATACGACAGTAACTGGTCTAACTGATATTCCTCATTATAAATTCGGGGATGTTTGTAAGTCACAACGAATGTAGAGCTGAAAAAACTCATCGTGCACCCCGTTGACGAGCTACCTAGAATGATGGTCACATCGGAAACCTGAATGATAGAATTCAGTCTGCACTAAAGCAACGACTAGACACGTCACACCAGGTACTAGTTTTCAATCAAAATATCCACTACAGACCTACAGGAGGTCAATCACGAGTCCGAATATCTCATGTGAAGTGTAAACTAATCTATTATGTAATGTTTATTCTTTGTTTCCCTTCCGAAAAATGTATGACATTTGGTTGGATGAACCTATTTATAAAGAGTTCAGGAGAGGTACATTTTGAAAACACCAAGGATACACAACTCAGAAACAACAGTAGTCTCATGTATTGAATGGGATACATTGCCACCCATGACTTAAACGAACTGAACAAGAGAAGTTCTAGGCAATATATTGATGAATGTCTCAGTAAGCCCAAGTTCTGATTGGACACTAGTGTAAAGTGTTCAATCTTTTCTTGATATTTGGTGCAGACTGAGTTCTATCAGTCAAGTTTGTGATGTGGCCGCCACCATTCTGGGCAGTTCGCTATTACAGTGCACTTTGAATTGTTGATATTAAATGGTTGGACGAAATCGGCAGAAGGTTAGTTGCGAGTCCGAATAGCTCAATGGTAACGTCTCTGAATGCAGGCGGCACTGGGTGACGCTGGTTCGAATCTCAGAAGGGATATGCATTTCTTCAAGGTTAATTGCAGATACGCCTTGCTGAATGGTGAGTGCCGAATAGCACGAAACCTAAGTCGAAGGCTTCCTGTGGCCGATTACCTCCAACCATCTAATGTGGTGAGAGCAGGCTGCTAGCCAATGTCTAGGTCACTGATATTGGCCGTGAGGAAATATGAACAAGGCTGTTTCAACAACCAATCACAGCAAACTTAAACGTGGGCAAATATGATTCGCAGATAGATGGCTCCACTTTCCGAGGAACTCGAAAACAACCAATCAGAAGACTGCGTTTGTCTACTTGACTAGGCCATAATAATGTATGTGACATTTATATAAATACGTGTTGATTTCCGTAATAAAACGATCTGTTGCCTGGTCCTTGTCTTCCGTTGTTACACTAATATCATCAAATCAATGTGCACCGTGATGTCCAGCTACCTAGAATTGTGGCCCAAATCCAAACCTGACTGATAGAATTCAGTCTGCACCAAAGAAACGACTAGACACATTACACTACTTACTGACTAGTGTCCAATAAAAAAAACATCTCCAACGAAATGCTAACCAATGCAATGATGAGAACGTTGAAAAGCCGTACAAGAAAAGTCAAAATAGAAAGCACTTGTGAATTTATTATGTATTCTGTACAAGATTTTTAAGAAGGCTTCTTCAATCTTTTTACTATTCATCACCACCCTTAGAAAAACGACTTCGTTTTCCACCAGATTTACGCGCAAAATATTCTTTCCGACGTTTACGTTCATTAACTGCTTTAACAGCATTCACTTTAGCCAATTGTTTTTTATGTTTTGTCACCCGATTGACCATTTTCTCTTTTTGACGGTGTAGGAAATCAGTGTGCAGTTGACGAAGACGTGCAATCACCTCTTGTCTTGACTCGCCAGATTCCATTTCATCCATTGTCTTCACAGGTGGTGGTAATTCGGCGTTCAGTGCAGCTTTTACAGGATCACCACCAAGCATTGCTAGTGCTTCTTTACGAGATGGTTTTGGTTTATGCGCAAATGGAAGTGCAGCGACTAGTTTAGTTGGTACACGTAAAGGTGCAGGCACATAGATTGGACGATTAATTGGCTACAGATTATAAAAAAAACACAAAGTTGTTGATCAAAAAGGTGTAAGGAGACATCATTTTAATATATGTGTAAAACTTGGGAGCTGTGGTAATAAGTTATTCCATATTAGTATGTTTATTAGATGTATCACACAGTGAAATAGTAATATTTACTGGATAACGTTTCGAACAAAATTTATTGCTGTTCATAATCATGTCAGTTATATTCACACGACTTTAAAACTTTTCTTTGTTTTCTTTGTTCTCTCCTATTTGACGTCGTAGGGGTAGTAGAATTTTCCAGATATCCGACTGGACAGGTGTTGAATCATTCCTATTACACGTGTTGATTTGCAGTTGATTCGATATACAAAGCTTCTGATATCAATCTCTCCCTCCCTCCACCCTGTGAAATTAGACTTTAAAACTGTCATCCTATCCCATCAAGCCTATTGTATGGTTGTGTTGTGTGTAATTGCATGTAGTGAGTGCTACAGCTGAACTATTCGCCAGATTTCTTATTCTATTTGGGTCAACCAATCTAGATTTTGCTAGGTTTCTATGTTCGGCTAGTCTGACTGCCCGTGTTCTACTAGTTTGACCTATGTATTAGACCTGAAAATCATTGCAGACAGGGTATTAGATAAACTAAATTGTTTTGTCGAATTGGCTCCACAGGATTGATCCTTTAACCGACAAAGCTTGTTTCTAATTGAGTTTGTGAGAGGTTTGAATGCTAGCCGCTTTTACTCCTGCCTTGTTAAGAATTCTGCGTGAGGCTTCCGAGGTTCCTTCCTTCTATGGAATTACTGTTGATGATTTAGATTCCTTATTGTTGGTGTTGTCTTGCGCACATTTGACATGCACGTCCTCATTATTATTATTGTTATTATTATTATCACTATCACTACTATCATTATTTATTTTGTTTTTATTTTTACATTTCCTTACATATGTAAAAAAATAATAAATAATGATAGTAGTGATAGTGATAATAATAATAACAATAATAATAATGAGGACGTGCATGTCAAATGTGCGCAAGACAACACCAACAATAAGGAATCTAAATCATCAACAGTAATTCCATAGAAGGAAGGAACCTCGGAAGCCTCACGCAGAATTCTTAACAAGGCAGGAGTAAAAGCGGCTAGCATTCAAACCTCTCACAAACTCAATTAGAAACAAGCTTTGTCGGTTAAAGGATCAATCCTGTGGAGCCAATTCGACAAAACAATTTAGTTTATCTAATACCCTGTCTGCAATGATTTTCAGGTCTAATACATAGGTCAAACTAGTAGAACACGGGCAGTCAGACTAGCCGAACATAGAAACCTAGCAAAATCTAGATTGGTTGACCCAAATAGAATAAGAAATCTGGCGAATAGTTCAGCTGTAGCACTTACTGCATACAATTGCACACAACCATACAATAGGATGCATTGGATAGGATGACAGTTTTAAAATCTAATGTCATAGGATGGAGGGAGGGAGAGATTGATAACAGAAGGAATGACTCAACACCTGTCCAGTCGGATATCTGGAAAATTCTACTACTCCTACGACAAATAGGAGAGGACAAAGGAAACTATAAAATTCAAGTTTCAAAGTCGTCTAATTACAAATGGGACATAATTTTCATGTCACCTGTCAAACTGCAAATCAACAGCATAAACAGAAAGTCGACTAACTGACCGACTGACTAACTCAGTTCAATTTCCTATACTCAAAGGTACACACAAAGGTACCGAAAAGAGAAAAATCTACCAGGATGTTTAGAGTTCATCATTTATTATTTCTAAGGTTCGTCTCAACTGGCTATACTGATAGAGCTGACCCTAAATCATTTCAGCAATTTAGGGATTGAATTCTTACCGGGGGATAGATAGTCTTACTGATATAGAATCTCCGGATGATACAGTCCTCCCTCCTCGATGATGAAGCTGACAAAATACAAAGTCTTATGGACATCCTAGGGAAGCAGTCTTCAAATGTTCCGTATGCGATTTCCTCCCGTCGAATATAAGATGATGCCATAAGATTGGACGGGACTACATTAACTCATAGCTTGAAGATAAGCAGCGAAGCAGTAGAGCATGGTGACAACACTTGTTTTGAGAGGTTGCACAACAGACTGATCGCTAACGAAATCTCCTAACGGATACAAAAGGCTCGTGGGACATTTGTCAACTTACGCCATCTCGGATGTAGACATGATATCCGATGCAGTAATTGCCTCTGTCCTTCCTCATGGAAGTGACATATGGCCATTGAAAGTGGAAGACATGATAAGTCTAAGTGTGCCCAACCACAGATATTTGCATTCCACTTCCCATGTTAAGTAGTATTTTATTGTCATTGATATTGAGGTCAGGTGTACAGTGTTAAGTTAGGAGGACGATATGTTGGTGAGTTCTGGCAAACACAGAAACCAAATATTCAGAATACTTTAACAAATAATCCCTATTGACACTGAATATGACACTGCGACACACAATAGTTACAGGATTTTGTCATGAGCTGAGATTGATTAGAGAACTATTGGAAAACCTGGGAGTAGTGGATAGCTGTTTCGTCCTACTTTGGGACTCTTCATAAGAACGCACCCGCCGGGGTTCGAATCCAGGACCTTCTGGATACAAGGCGAGCTCGTAGACCATTGGTATCAATACTTGAATATCGATGAGATGCTCACTATCGACTGGCCCTATTCAGGTAGGTAGTTTTACCTGGAGTTCTAGTGGGACAAGTAGGGTGCAGTAGTTTGGGTGTGAGAACAAATACTCGCCAAAGACGTTGGCTAGCAGTCTCACTATGTCGTGAATTGGCAGAAGCTAGAATTCATGAGCTGGCCATTGGATAGGGTCCCAGTGGCTTAATGATATACGAGCTGGCTCGCCTTGTAACCAGAAGGTCCTGGGTCCGAACTCTGGTGGGCGCGTACCAGTGAAGAGTACCAAACTAGGACGAAACGGGTTTCCTAATGGTTCTCTAACCAATCCCAGCTTATAGTGAAATACTGTAACTAATCAATCAAATCCCTACAAACCAATACTTGATCAATGCATATCAGACGGTGGACTCAAGACTAGGCAGCTAACTAGTTAGGCTACTGTGACATGTGCTAGTTGGTAGGCAATAATTTTAAAGCAGTGTATTGTGCAGTGTCTTCCACAACAATTCTACATAGAATGAAGTTTCAAACAAGAAAAGTGGGGAAAACAGATTTCTCCACTACGCTGACAAAAAGTAGAACTTTCCAAACACCTTGAGCAGAAATATTCGAATGTTTGGCGTGCAATTCCTCCACTCTTGTCATATGCAAGATGATGCTACAGGACTGGACTAAATCGAATCACTCCTAGCTTAAAAATAGGCAGGAGAGAAGTGGCAGAGCACGTTGACCACCACTTAGCTTATTTGGGAAGTTGCATCAGTCAGTGCCAGCGGGGTGATCGCTGACGGAATCTCTACACGGATACAGAAGGCTAGTTTCGCATATGCCACTTTACGTCACCTCTGACGTGGAAGTGATATCCGGCTGAGCGTCGACCAAAGGACGTGTGTATAGCTCAGCAATCCGCTCCGTCCTCCTTAATGGCTGTGAGTGGGACATGCCCATTGAGAGTGGAAGACATGAAAAGCCTGGCTAGTTGTTTTTTCATCATAGGTGCCTGTCTGCGTTCTATTTCCCGTGAGCAATGGTTTAATAGGTAGAGCAATATTGACGTTAGGCATCGGTCGAGTGCTAGGTAACTAGGAGGGGAAATCAGTCGACGAGGCTGCAAAGCTCCATCGATTGAGATGGTTAAGACATGTGTTACGTATGCCCAGCCATCGATGGCTTTCTTCGACGGGTAATGTCAGCTGACACAGGATCGATCAGGTTGCAAAAGACCTAGTGGTGGTCGAACCAAAGCATGTCCTCATCAGCCAATGAAATCCACAACAGTTAGTTTAAGCCACGTAGGAAGATGTAGACTTCCTCGTTAGGGTCTACGGGACGGTAAACACTTATGACTGGAGACAACTGGTAATATGACTCAAAATCATTGTTAGCGGCGTAGATGCATCCACTCCTTATGACTTATAATTTCCAATAAAACTATATAATTCTTCGATATTACTGTTCTTTTTGCTTCATATCTCTGCTTCCTGTCTCTGTTTCACGTTTCTTCTTACTTTCTTCTCTGGCTTTGTGTGGTGAGTGAAGTGTGGCGACTCGAACTGCTCCAAATCGGCGCAAAGTTCTACGTTGAAACCAGTCAGTCAGTGTAAGGGAAAATGGAGATGGATAGGGCATATGTTGAGGAGGCCATCCAATGACATCACAACCAATCCATTCCGTCATTCAAGTGGAATGCCAATGGAAAGCGACCATTGGGTCGTCGGTGAGAGCCAGAATGACATGGAGGAGATCATGTGGGTTGGAGGAGGGTATGAGAGATTATGGGTAATCGCGGACCCAGCTGAAGAGGATGGCAGAAAATAGAAGAAAGTAGAGATGTGTTGTTGAAGCCCTATGTTCCACTAGGAACCCAAGAAAATAACATATTTTCTGTGGTTACGTAATCCATTGTATTGTTATATTCTTTCCAGTTAAGCTTTGTTTCTAACCACAAAAATCTGTTGGATTCGGTCTTCTTGTTTCCAAGCATAGTTGTCTAATTTTTCCATTAATAGTCAATCCTTTCCAATCTTAATTATTTAACAGCTTACAAGATTCCTGATTGATGTTACCCTCACTTCCTGCCAGTTACTCTTTGCCGTCGTGGAGAAAGTATGTTCAAATCTTCCATGTAATTGATATTTCAGTTGTATTGTTCAGGTTGTAGCCAGTTGAGACGAATCACTTGGATGAGTCATATCGGATACACCGCTGAAACCCTACGCTGCACACGAGTGGAACGGCCGTCCAATGTTTAAATTACCTCGATCTGGCTGGCTAACAAGCGCTATCGGTTGGTGTAAGCAGTGGTATACTACTCGTCTCACTTAATCAGTAGCATATAGTGTTTACGCGAAAAAATGGGGAAATGAAGAATGAATATACAGAAATCATGAAACGAAGGCACAGTAACAGAGGATAAGAAGATGGTGCTTTAAAATTTTGAAACGCCATAACCTGCTTATGCATATTCCACTTACTTTATACTGCGAATCTGGTTTACTCTCTGTTTTAATGCCAGCTTCCCATTTCAGTTCACCTAGTGTACGTAGTAGCCGCCAGCCGCCGCCACCTGAAGGCGTAGACTTTTCACCAGCAATAGGGACTAATCGATTCAGCACAGGATTATAATACCTAGGCAGTTCAACGGCGAAGAAAGTTCGCAAGAAAACGATATCAGCTTTTCTAATTTGTGCTTCAAATGTTGCTCGAAAATCACCAGGTTTTGATGTTGACGGATTAGTCAAGGCAGCTTTGATCAAGCCTGTTAGAATGGAGTAAAGACAAGCAAAAAAAGATAACATTGTAGTCAGATAAATTTATAAATTGCACTGGATAGGAACAATAGAATTGTTGTGAATTCAAATTAGCACATCGCCCAAATGGTGCTATGCCTGCTTCCCAATGAAAAAAAGAGCTGAGCTAAGTGCCTCAATATCACAAGTTGACGCCAAATTCTCTCGTCTCGAACAAACACATGTTCTCAAACGTGCCACAACTTCTTACGCTCTGGTGACGCGGGAAGGTCACAAGTGCCCCAGACCTTCCTGTAAACAACCGACCACTCCATCAACCCAGGTGAGGTCCTAGGTTGACCCTAAGGAACACCTCTTTTCTAGAAGGGAAGACGATATGCAGACAGACAAACAATGGATTATCCTTTGTTGGTAATATGGTGATCAAGATCAGTCTGGAAACAAACCAATCAGAATTGGCCTAAGTAAAATAATGTCCACTATTTTATCGACCATGATTATAGACATACTGATAAATCTTTGGTGATTTCTTGAATCACACACGATTATTGTGTAAAATATACTGTAGCTGCTACTGAAACATACTCTTCGGTTCACGTCGTTGTGGGTTGTCACTTAAGTAGAGAGGGTTGGGGAACAGGTAGCTATCCTACAGTGTTGTTGGAAAAGTTTAGTGGTGTTCGTGACCAGTTTCAATTTCAATCTCAAAGTAGTGACATTATCAAAAAGTGGTAGGTTGGATATGCATTAAACACTTGCGTATAATGCAGTCTCCACATACTTGCCAGTTGAGTGGCTTGATTTACTTTCTCACCTAAAACCAGGATTAATTCTTCCATAAATGAACTAAAGAGACATCAGTAAGGAAGAAGTCGTATTCTACTCACATCTAACTTTTTACAACTCTTAAAAACATGTACTGGGAAACAGAAAACTATTTAGTAGTATCTTATGCCTCAATAAAGATTATTATTGACTTGATTTCCGAGCGACACAAGGCTTCCGCAGCACATCAATATTTTGTCCTATTCCTTGCAATCCTCTTCAACTGGCCTGACGATTGCTAATAGTCTCTCATTTCCTTCTTAGACGATCTCCTCCATGTCACCCTCGGACCCACACCTAATGTGTCTTTTCCGATTCAGCTTCCACTGGAAAGCCACTGGCGTGTCACACGCTGCAACTCGACGGTCTCCTCAGCTTGTGTGTCAAATCCATCTCTATTTTCTTCGGGATATTTGTTAAGTAATCGATTCTTGGTTGAATCGTTGCCCACCAAAGTTTCATGTTGATAGCTTGTTTCTGCTTACCCTCAAAGATTCATTTAACAGGTACGGAAGGTCTGAAGTCTTAAATGTCAAACAAATCACAGTGAAGAAAACGCCAATCTACACTCAACTTGATTATAAAGTTGAAAATATTACAGTAATTGTCAACAGAAGATTGAGGACGTCTCTAGGCAGAGCCTACCCTATCCCGTCTATCGAACAACTTGCTCTTTGGTGCAATCAAAATTCGATAAACATCTTTCTCATGTTAACTCCAACTGCATACACAAATTTACATGTATCTCCGGGAGCAGTTACATTGGAAGAACAGGAAGAAGAAGAGCATACCTCCGATTTTCTGAACATGTACCATGTCTAAAGGGAACAAATGCTTTAAACAGTGCCATCCCCAGGCATCTCCTTGACACGGGTTATGAGGTGGACTTCACAAGATCGTTCAAAATTATCAATACGCAAAAGAGTTCAATTCTACTCAAATTTACTGAAGCCATCTTTATCAAGCGCCTGAAACCTGATTTACGCGTTCAGAAAGAAGCCGTTATCAGTCTTTCCTTGGCCTGCCTGGTAACTGGATATTTTCACCCTCTCTTTCATCTGACTACGTAATGTCGAAAGTTTCCATTGTGCGTGATCATTATGGTTCGGAATAGTGTTAAATGTTATATATATATATATATATATATATATGATTGCATGCATATATTGATTAATTGATTTTTATTTAAAGATGAGCTCTGTTTTTTCCTTCCTTCAAGTTCCCCAGTGGAACATAGGGTTTCAAGCTAGCGGCTTGAAGTTTCTGTAGCAGTGGTTAATTTTACAGGATAGGGTTGCTAGCCCCATGCCCAACCTTTCCTCTTTACCAGCATTAATTCTCGCTTAGCGAGATAAACGAGTGCATCAGTGGCCGGGGATCGAACCCTGGACAAACTGCTATGCCACCGACGCAAATATGTTAACATTATTTCTGTAGATATACTTCATAATGCCTTCGGGCTGTAAGCAGCTGATGAGAAGCAAACGAAATAGACAATGATGGTCCCATTTTATTCTGCAAAACCCGCTGTTGTTTTAGCTTTATTCAAATTCATTAAGGGGAATAAGTGTATGACGTTTCTGATTGGCTATCTGATAACCAGTATGAAGCCAGTGAAGGCGGTCGTTGACAAAAGTCTACAGCCGGCTGTTGGAAACGCCTTTCGTGACGCATGTAGAAGAACTGACTGACTCCACATTGGTGTTGAAAATCCTTGATAAGCATTCAAAAATATATATCTTTGACTAGAAGCACAGATAGTGAGTATTCTTCCTCTCACCTTACTGGCCGTCAGAATCTATCTCTAAATTCATTCCTTCAGTAATTATAACTCATGAAACATATAAAAAGGATTTTAATGAAATAAGCTGAATGAAGCATTCAAGGTATTATAACTAACTAACATGCATACACAAAAGCGAAATATATATATCAACTTACCTCGTATCTTCGATGCAGTTTGTATTCGACAACCAATCATTTTACTCACTTCCAGTGAACTATTAAACATGCCACGAATAAAAGCTGTTTTAGAGAATATTTTATACGGTTCACCAATCAACTTTAACTTTTTCATTATTTGAAATGATTTATTCGAATCAATAACTGTTCCGGTACCAGCAACACGAAATGCTGGTAGATAAGGATTTTTTGGATCATCTATCAATTGCCATGCAGAGTTGACAAAAGCGATAACACCGGTTTTCGGTGGAACTAATGGACCATAAATAGTCGCTAGACAATGTTCATGCGGCAGGGAATATTTTAAAAAGCGTTTACGTAAATTATGCTCTTCTTGAGAAAAGACACTAACAGTTTGATATCTACGCCAACCGATAGATACAGTCAATGGATCATTTGAACGGAGAACACGTTTTAGCCAACGATGTGTACGGAAACGTATTTGTAAATGACCAAAGGCTTCTTCAGCACTTGATAAACCACCAGCGACTAATGGTTGACAAGGATCAAAACGTTTTATAAACTGACTTGGAACACCTAGAAAAAGTTAATAAAAAGCGGGGAGGGGGGGAATATTTTGAAATGAGAGTAAGAACACAATTAAGGGGAACACTTGAAATAATGCAGGAGATTTGTAGCTCTCAGGTGTGGATGATTTTTATCTAATTGTGTACTCTAAGCTGCTTCATTGAATTGTGAAGCTTTCAATACCCCCCCCCATCCAGACAACATCTGCAGTATAGGCTTTAATATAAATTGAACTTATTTGAATTCTCCATGTGGATATGGTATAATTCTGTCTCCTGTGACAACCATTGTTGTGACTCGTTGTCAATTCACGTTTGTATTAATCATTTTTATTAACTTAGAATTTGGACTTTCTTGTCATATGATTTATTTTTTATTAGTTGCTAAATCTGATGCATAGTCAGTAGTTTGTTTGTTAATCGCTGACTGATTTGAGTGTTAGGCTTCTTTCATCTGTGCATGTTTGTGTGTCCCTTCCCCAATTCAAATCGATATTTCCTAAAATATGTAAAACTTACACAAACTGAGTCCTGGTCTATCAACTGGTTGCACTCTTACTTCTCTAATAGGATGTAGTACACGGTATATATAAAATGGTGTAGCTTCCTCTCCTTTGCTTACTGAAGCTGGAGTTCTTCAGGGTCCTGTTATCTCTCCGTTTTTTCTCTTTGCCCTCTTCTTACATGACTTACCTCTTTCAGACGAATTCAACTTCGTCAAATATGCAGATGACCTGACTGTTTCGCTTCCCGTTAAGTCTTAGTCAGACTGTTTCAAATTAAATAGCTTCCTATCGGACATTAGTCAGTGGTCTAAACTAAATGGCCTCATGCTGAATCCCTCAAAATGCCAGACCATTGACTTCTCCCTTTAGGCATGAACGAGATCTACAAACACTAGTAAGTACTCATGAAGCCTGTAGCATTAAGGGGACTAAGTTTAATGCAAAATACACCGCGGTCTAGTTCTACCTTCCGACCTTACTCGGCCATCTCATATCCAAACGATTTCTACGAAAGCGTTCCGTCTAGCCTACTACACTAAGAAACTTAGACTATCTGGAATCCCCTAACTTCTACTTTCGCAATTTGTCAACTCTCGTGTCTTACCTATTCTACTTTACCGCTTCCCGTTAGTCTTTCCTAGGCTACTGAAAAAGGACTATACCATTCTGAGAAGGATATTGAAGGTAGTTAGTAGGACTAGTGGTGTAAAACTCAGTCAGCTCGTCACTACATTAGTAGAAAGGCATCTGAATACATGCGAAAAATGGTCTAAAACCATACTCTCAGACCCCCAACATCCCCTCTATTCCCAACTTTCTCCTTGTATCTCATCAGGTAGAACCAGAAATCAGTACAAAATAATATATGCTCGTACAACCAAGTATAGGAACTCAACGATATCATATTTGGCCCGTGTTCAAAGTGACAGAGACAATGTTAAGCGCGAAAACTATGACTTGCTTGGCTCTTTTATTTCTCTCTTATTTGCATTCTGTAGTGAGTGCCTTCTTAAACGTGCGTAGCTACCTAAATTATTAACATTGGCTTATTTTTTTTTTACATTATTCTATTCCTTCTTTTGTGTGTCTACTGGTCCCGACTATATTTATTGTCACTATGAGTATTACAAAATTGTCCTGTCATTAACCATCATGTAATATTAGTTTTGTGATTATTTTGTTTTGTTCGGCAATATTAAACCGACAATCTTGGTTGTGAAAGCCGTTATCACCATCCTAAAATGTTTGTATTATGCAGGATTACTCACACTGCCACTACAAACACCGCATTAGACCTGACTATAAAAACCCTGAAATGTTTATTTTATGATTGTTTAGTGTTGTTCAATCAAATTAACTGATCATCATGGCGATAAACATTCTTAATATCATTTTGTAACTTCTTGTATGATATAGTTTTACTGTTCACCACGCATAAACATATCATAGCTTCCGCTACCCAATACTGAGATATTATTTATTATGTTGTTTATTTTCGTTTCTTGGTATTTTTCGCATTTTTTTAATTATTTTTGTGCTTTTTTTGATTACTGTTGTTGTCTTTGTATTTATTTTTCGAAATACTTCTTTTAAATGTTTGATAAAATTAGATGCAATATTGTAGATACGTGCTGAAAATTCCACACTGTACCACTAGTACTGTTTCTGGAATAAAGTAAATTATCATTATTTTTTTAAAAACTACCCTGCAGTCTAGGCAAAAGCCAAGGGATACAATCAACAAGCTACAATCCCACATTAGTAACGCTACCCACACAGGTGAAGAGTTTCAACTTTCCTTTTAGCTGATGTCAGTTCATGACGATATTTACTGTCAATGCCAATCAAAAACTAGAATTCATTTAGAACTCAACACAGCTGAATGTAACAGGCAGTGACATGGCGAATAGACAGACAATTGCACGCTTTTGAATGATGAATTCGATAGTTTGTGAAGTATACCTCCAAATTATGTTTTAATCTTACGTCGAGAACCAACCTTATGAAAGAGGGCTCATGAGTGGCTGCAATAACAAACTAACGAGAAATTCCTGCTAAAGATACCATAGGAAGACAGGTATTAAACCTTTTATGAAAAATAAAAAAACAACTGGTCATTCCCATAATAAATGTCAACCAGATTGACAATTATAATTTTCCCTTCATCTTCAAAGAACATACACGCACACACGCACACAAAAGCAACAATATTCAACGCAAAACTAACCTCTAATTTCAATACGAACATAAGCTCCCGGGGGAAAACCTTCCAAGCGACTGGCAACTTCTTCTGGTAGACTTTTTAACACTTCTTGATTTAAGGCTTGTTGAGCTTCACGTGCAGCAACTAGTTTATCGTAAAATGCAGTTGCTTCAGGACCACCACCAGCTGCTTCATACAATTGATTGAATAGAGCTTTATGCCGTTGTCTTTTCTCTAATAATTTTTGACGTTTAGTTGGTCTTAGTAGATTCTGAAGGTATAATAAAATTAAAGAGTATATATATATAAGAGTTGAAACGTCTCGAAAGTAACTCCTGGATGTTTAATGGCATAACGCCACTTGCTAACTTATGTCATCTCTGGCTTAGTAGACGTGATAACCGACTGGCTGGCTGGCTATCGATCAAAGCACGCATGTACTGCGCAACAGCTCCTTTTGCGCTTGTTTATGGCTATCAAGTATGGCCATTGAAAGTGGAAGATGACAAACGACTAGCCGTCTTTTGAACGCAGATGTTTACGTTCTACCTCCCATCTTAAGTGGTATAATAAGGTGAGTAATACTGAGGTTAGGTGTAAAGTATTAGGTAAGGAGGACAAGACATCGTTCCAGATGGCTAGGGTAGGTGTATTGAGGATACTGAGTCACCACCTTCTCTGTCAAGCCATGTTAGGTGATATAGGATATACGCGCTACCGGGGATTCTCGGGATGCTAAGAACCAATAGATGGAGATAATCACAGAGGGATTAGCTTGACTAATATAGTGTCTAAAGTCTTAGGCTCAATAATCATGCGTAGACTGAGTGGTGCTCGGGAGGCACAAACACGAGAGAGCCAGGCAGGCTTTAGACCAGGAAGAGGGTGTATTGATCATATCTTCACCCTCCGACAGATTCTAGAACATAGGCATTCCTACCGGCGTCCAACAGTCATTATATTTCTTGACCTAAAGGCAGCATTCGACTCTGTCGATAGAGTAGTTCTCTGGAGATGCTTGGCTGTAAAGGGAATTCCGAGAAAATATATTGCACTGATTAAGGCACTCTACTCGTACTCATACAGCCAGGTGAGGGCTTACGGCGAGCTGTCATCTGAACTGATGACGACCAGTGGTGTCCGTCAAGGATGCCCATTATCTCCTTTTCTATTCAACTTCATCATAGATGTGTTAATGGACTTAACCCTAGGTGACTTCAGCGACTCAGGGATTGACTTGCTACCGGGGAATAATCTCGTTGACTTAGAATATGCAGACGATATAGTCCTTCTAGGCGAAGACGCTGACGAAATGCAGAGTCTTCTGAACACCTTGAGCCGCAATCTACGAATGTTTGGCATGCGATTCGCTCCCGCCAAATGCAAGATGATGTTACAGGACTGACTGGACTACATCGACGCCTAGTTTAAAAATAGGAAGTGAAGTGGTAGAGCACGTTGACCGCTTCACTTATTTGGGAAGTACCATCAGCCAGTGCCAACAGGTTGATCTCTGACGAAATCTCAGCACGAATACAGGGGGCTCGTTTCGCATTTGCCAGTTTACGCTGACTCTGGCGTAGACGAGATGTTCGACTATCGACCAAAGGGCGGGTGTACTGCTCTTCAGTCCGCTCCGTCCTCCATTATGGCTGGCTGTGAGACCTGGCCACTGAGAGTGGAAGACATGAAAAGACTAGCTGTCTTTGATCATAGGTGCCTGCGTTCTATTTCCCGTTTAAAGTGGCATAATAAGGTGAGCAACATGGAGGTTAGGCGTAGAGTTCTAGGTAAACAGGGGAAATCAATCGACGAAGTCGTGAAGTTACAAAGACTGAGATGGTTAGGACATGTGTTACGTATGCCAAGCCATCGCCTCCCTCGACGAGCTATGTTAGCGGATATAGGGTCAGACTGGAAAAAAGCTAGCGGCGGTCAAACAAAAACTTGGCATCAGTCAATGAAATCCACAACAGTTGGTCTAAGCCACGTAGGAAGGTGTAGACTTCCAGGGTGGGGTCCTCGGGACGGTAAAAATCTATGGTTGGAAACAATTGGTGACATGGCTCAAAACCGTTCTCAGTGGCGCAGATGCATCCACTCCCTGTGACTTATGATCTTCAATGAAACTGTTTTGTTTTTCTTTATTACTCCTTTGTCTCACACCTCTGCTCACTGTTTCTATTATGCTTTTCTTGTACTTTCTTCTCTTGCTTCGCGTGCTACATGGAGTGTGGCGACTTGAACTTCCGCACATTTGTGCAAAGTTCTATGTCGAAAACAGACAGACAGACAGAAGGAGACAACTAGTGATATGGCTTGAAATCATTCTCAATGGCGGGCGCAGATGCATTCACTCTTCGTGATTTATCATATCCCATAAAACCATATTTTTGTTTTCCCATGTGACTATCGTTTCCTTCTCTCCCGACCGATAGCTGCTACCTTGACGTGGTGGTCGCCGGGCTTGCACATCTCAATGACCCAACAAGCTAGACTGCCTGAAACTAATGTTCCTGCAGATCCTACCATGCCAGGAAAGTTGTTAGGGTAGCGATTAGACTAAAAGCAGTTACCGGCTTAATGTAAGAATTTTTTCACACTATGCTGGGAGTCTGTGGGCAAAGTCGTACTGCTGGGGAACAGGGATATAACAGCAGTGAAGTGTCTCCCTCAGATGACCAGCATGCCAGCTAGCTATGCTGTCTCGCCACTTTGGAGAAAGGGAGTTAGAAAAGTCGACCCCAAAAATAATACATACCGACTTATCCTACGGTAGTCCATAACAGGCGGTAAGTTTGTTAATATGGAACCAAACCAAGATACCAGTTCATATAGGCCGTGTCTGACCAACGGGCCTCATGCAGTTGTCCCCTGGGCTCTGCGGTCACGCAAGACTAACCCTTTTTCTGTTTTAGGTATCCGAAGAATTAATTAACTTTCACGGTGTGGGTAGCCCGGAAGTAATAACCGCGCACCCACTTCCAAAAGCACACAAAGTCTTCCTAAGCATCATTCTCTTTATTTTCTTTCTCTATTCTTTCTACCTTTTCGTACTTCACAGAGTGTGGGTAGTCAAACTGCTGCACTTCTTCCTAGAATTCTGCATTGAAATTCAATCAGTTAACAATAGTACGGTGAGTTAAAATGGAATGTTACTCAACAGCAACTTGTACAATTCCATGAACTACTTGCAATGAGCCAATAATATTGTGTGCGGCGGCTAATGATACTACGTACGTAGCTGCTCAAACCTCTTTCGATAGGTGGAACCAGATGCGAACCCACAAGTAGGTGCTTCATTGTCGAACGCTTAAACTAATGGGCCACAACTCCCATTAAATACGACGAGTCGGTGGACATCCATGAATCACCTTGCAGAAAGTCACCTGTAACCTGAATAGCTTATTGTGATGATTAAGTTTTCGGTTGACTGTCTGATTGACCGCCTGGTTTCAACACAGAACTTTGCATAGATGTGCACCAGTTCGAGTTACCACACTCCTTTCATGTAGCACACAAAGCATAAGAAATATTTAAAAGAGAGATAACAAACAAAAGTGTGAGGAAAAACAAATGGTAATAGGCAAGAACAGTAGAGTCTTATTGGATGTGGCATATCACAAAGAGTGAATACACCTACACCAACTATTGAGAACGATTTTGAGTCATATTACCAATTGTCTCCAGCCTACACCAGTTCTTACCATCCCAAGGACCTCAACCAGTCAGGCACTCCACACCTCCCTACGTAACTGGCTGGCTTAAACTAACTAGTAGGCATTTCATCGACTGATGCTATGTCTTCATTTGATCTGATCCAATGTCAGCTAACAATGCCCGTTGTCAAGGAAGGCGGTCGACAACTGGAGATGCATGCGTAACACATATCCTAACCGTTTCAACCGGTCTAACTCCAAAACCCCGTTGAGTGATTTCCCCTCCTTCCTACCTACCTAGCACTCGACCGATGCTTAACCTCGATATTACTCACCATACTATACCACCTATCAAAGACAGCTAGCCGGCCTTTTCAGGTTTTCCACTTTCGATGGCCATGTGTCACTCACAGCCGAACAGAGCAAACTACTGAGCGGTACACACACGTTGTTTGATCGATAGCTAACCGAATATCTCTTCGACACCAGAAATGGTGTAAGTTGGCAAATGCAACATGGGTCTTTTGTATCCGTCTTGTGAATACAGGAGTAAGACAAGGTTACCCGACCTTCTATCACTGGTGATATTCCTAATTGTGGTGAATTGGATTATGCATCAGATTGTGGACAGACAGAGGACAGGATTACTTTGGATCGGAAAGAAGATTCTAGAAGATATGGATACCGCGGATGATTTATCTCTAATGTCACATAAACCCAAAGACTTACAAGCGAAAACCAATAAGTTGGCAGGAGAAGCAGCCAGTGAAGATATGGCGCTTCAAGTGAACAGAGAGAAGACGGAGGTGATGCAGATAACCAACCAAAAACAATAACAAGAAGTATCAATTACAATCGATGAGAGAAACTTGAAGGAAGATCGCTTCCCCCAATTATCTAGGAAACACTGATTCAACTATAGGTAGCACGTGTGAGAATGTCAAAACCAGAATCCGAGAGTTAAGGTTTACTTTCCTCTCTGTGAAGTTGTCAGTTTGGAAATGCTGTGTACTCTGCAGCATAAAGAACAAATTTCGGCTTTTCAAACACCAATTTTAAGTCACTCTGTTCTACTATATGGATCACGAAAAACATTTCCGACAGATAGAAGTTACCCTTGCTAGTGAAGATAATAAGATGGCTAGTGGAGAATATTTATAAACAAGAAATCTTGGGAACAAAGTGACCGACAACCTTTCGCTCAAAAAATATCCGACAAAAAATGGAGATAGATTCGGTACACGTTTGGGTAGACCGTCAAATGACGCCATACACCAGGCCATCAATCAAGTGGGCGTTGAATGGGAAACGACGAGTTGGGCTTATGTCCGAGGGTGACACACTGTTGAAGCCCTGTGTTCCACACTGTCTGTCTCTCTGTCTGTTTTCGACATAGAACTTTGCACCGATGTCCGACAGTTCGAGTCGCCACACTCCCTGTAGCACACAAAGCAAGAGAAGAAAGTAGAAGAAATGCATAATAGAGAAAGTAAACAGAGGTGTGAGACAGAGGAGTAATAACGAAGAACAAAACAGTTTCATTGGAGATCATAAGTCACAAGCAGTGGATGCATCTGCGCCACTGAGAACGGTTTTGAGCCATGTCACCAATTGTTTCCAACCATAGATTTTTACCGTCCCGAGGACCCCAGCCTGGAAGTCTACACCTTCCTTAGACCAACTGTTGTGGATTTCATTGACTGATGCCAAGTTTTTGTTTGACCGCCGCTAGCTTTTTTCCAGCCTGACCCTATATCCGCTAACATAGCTCGTCGAGGGAGGCGATGGCTTGGCATACGTAACACATGTCCTAACCATCTCAGTCTTTGTAGCTTCACGACTTCGTCGATTGATTTCCCCTGTTTACCTAGAACTCTACGCCTAACCTCCATGTTGCTCACCTTATTATGCCACTTTACACGGGAAATAGAACGCAGGCACCTATGATCAAAGACAGCTAGTCTTTTCATGTCTTCCACTCTCAGTGGCCAGGTCTCACAACCATAAAGGAGGACGGAGCGGACTGATGAGCAGTACACCCGCCCTTTGGTCGATAGTCGAACATCTCGTCTACGCCAGAGTCGGCGTAAACTAACAAATGCGAAACGAGCCCCTTGTATTCGTGCTGAGATTTCGTCAGAGATCAGCCCGTTGGGGCTGATGGTACTTCCCAAATAAGTGAAGCGGTCAACGTGCTCTACCACTTCACTTCCTATTTTTAAACTAGGCGTCGATGTAGTCCAGTCCTGTAACATCATCTTGCATTTGGCGGGAGCGAATCGCATGCCAAACATTCGTAGATTGCGGCTCAAGGTGTTTAGAAGACTCTGCATTTCGTCAGCGTCTTCGCCTAGAAGGACTATATCGTCTGCATATTCCAAGTCAACGAGATTATTCCCAGGTAGCAAGTCAATCCCTGAATCGCTGAAGTCACCTAGGGTTAAGTCCATTAACACATCTATGATGAAGTTGAATAGAAAAGGAGATAATGGGCATCCTTGACGGACACCACTGGTCGTCATCAGTTCAGATGACAGCTCGCCGTAAGCCCTCACCTGGCTGTATGAGTACGAGTAGAGTGCCTTAATCAGTGCAATATATTTTCTCGGAATTCCCTTTACAGCCAAGCATCTCCAGAGAACTTCCCGATCGACAGAGTCGAATGCTGCCTTTAGGTCAAGAAATATAATGACTGTTGGACGCCGGTAGGAATGCCTATGTTCTAGAATCTGTCGGAGGGTGAAGATATGATCAATACACCCTCTTCCTGGTCTAAAGCCTGCCTGGCTCTCTCGTGTTTGTGCTTCCCGAGCACCACTCAGTCTACGCATGATTATTGAGCCTAAGACTTTAGATACTATATTAGTCAAGCTAATCCCTCTGTGATTATCACAGGAAGACTTGTCTCCCTTCTTGTATATGGGGATAATCAGTGACTTACACCAACCCGATGGGACTTCTTCTGATTCCCAGACGCTGCCTAGTACCTCAGTTAATCCGGACAGTAAGCTGTCTCCACCGTACTTAAATACCTCTGGAGTCATTCCATCAGGTCCCGCTGCTTTGCCTAGTTTCAGATTGGTGACAGCAGTCACCTATGATTGAAGACAGCTAATCTTTTCATGTTTTCCATTGTCAATGGCCAGGTCTCGCTCACAGCCATAAAGGAGGACAGAGCGGACTGCTGAGCAGTACACCCACCCTTTGGTCGATAGCCAGCTGGATTTCACGTCTATGTTTCACACTAGGAACCCAAGGGAACAACAGTAATAATAATATGACCATATACTCACTAACCTTGTCATATTCACTTTCTAAAATCTTCGTGTCTTTTGACATACTCTTCATATCCCCCCGTCAACATTCCCCTCATCATCATCAGAATTTGAATCATGAAAAATATTTTCGTCATCATCTTGATCTGAATCGTCATCTTCACCTTCATCATCATAATCATCGAAAGTTTCACTGTCATCCTCACCACCAACCCCACCAGCATCGTAATCCTCTGAATCAGACAGATACTTTGTTGTATCACCACCGGTATACTCAACCTTGCTTTGAGAGGCAGTAGCATGTCTTCTGGCCTCATCCAATTCAATGACTTTACGCGCTTTCATATCTTTCTCCAACAGTGTATTCGCATCTTCATGTTCAGCCCATTGACCAGTTGTGAAACGATTACAAATTAAATCATGAGATGATACATCCTCCCAGGTGATAGTAGTCGATTTATGAATTGAACCAAGCGTGAAATCATGATCTCCGACAAATGAATCACTAGACTGTTTAGGTAAACTGTCATTGCCATCTAGAAATATACGAAATCAGTGTGTTTGTGTGTGTAAACAAAAGTGAAGCAAAAGCTACAGAGCAAATTAGAAAATCAGTGGATGTGTGTGAAACATGGACACTATACTTTATTACGCAGGATGTTAACAGTGTCAGCAGAGTAAGCAACGTGCCACTTAACCAGCTTATTAATATTGTGGTTGACAGGCACTTGAACTCATATGAAAAATGGGCCAAATCCATTTTATATAACTCACACCATCCTCTTCATTCACAACTCTCCCCTTGATACCTATAATTTATTAAATAGTCAGTAGGACAACTGGATCTGGTATTTCCAACTCATATCATGTATAGGTACAACGTTTTCTTTCTTTCTTTTCCATTTTCTGTTATGTGCTGTTTTGTTTCTCTCTTCCTTACGAACTCTACTTAAAACATTCTTCTTCGTTCTTTCACACTCTGCATATCTCTACCTTTGTTACCGCTTACGCCAGTAAATATGCTAGCATCTACCTCCTTAACACCTTCAAACACTGTTCAATTTTTGGCTTTGCTACCGACATACCAATATGTTGTTGTCATAACTAACTGAGATTACCCTTAATCTATGTAGAACTTTATTTATTGTTAATGTACAAACTGGATGCAATACTGTAGTGAAATGCTAAGAATTCTATTCTGTATGACAAGTACTGTTTTGGAATAAATCAAATTATTATTATATTGATTTTTTATTAGATATTATATTACACAGTATTATTATTTACTGGATGATAAAAATTTCGAAAACTATTTACCTATTGTTCATAATCAGTCATATTGTCGATTGTGACTAGACAACTTCGAAACTGCCACTCTACAGTTTTCTGTATTCCTTCCACATTCGTCGTAGAGGTAGTAGAATTTTATAGATGTAAGATGCTGCTACAGGACTGGACCACGTCAACCCCTAACTTAGTGATAGGGAGGGAAGTGATAGAACATGTTGACCACTTCACCTACTTGGGAAGTTGTATTAGCACCAACGGACTGATTGGCGATGAAATCTCAGCACGGATCCGAAAAGCTCGAGCTGCTTTCGCTGACTTACACCATCTCTGGCGTAGGCGTGACATCCGGTTATCAACCAAGGGACGTGTGTACTGCTCATCAGTTCGCTCCGTCCTTCTCTATGGCTCTGAAACATGGCCAATACGCGTTGAAGACATGAAAAGGTTGACTGCTTTCGATCATAGATGTCTGCGATCTCTGTCTCACGTTAGGTGGTTTCACAAGATAAGTAATGTTGACGTTAGGCGTAGAGTGTTGGGCAAAGAGGGAAAATCAATCGACGAGGCTATAAAGTTACATAGACTAAGATGGCTAGGTCACGTGCTGCGCATGCCTAACCACCGCCTCCCCCGACGGGCTTTGCTAGCTGATATAGGTTCAGGTTGGAAAAGAGCCAGTGGTGGCCAAACAAAAACATGCCATCAATCCATGAAATCCTTGACAGTTAAACTGAGTCAGGTAGGGAGATGCAGACTTCCGGGTTGGGGGCCTCGGGACTCTAGGAATCAATGGCTGGAGACAATAGGTGACATGGCTCAAAATCGTTGTCAATGGCGCAGATGTATTCAGTCTCTGTAATCTTTCATATTCCTTTCTACAATTACCCATTCTGTTTCACTCTTATATTTGTCAAACTCTATTGATTCTCTTCACTCATCTTCTTGTCTACCTTGTGTGCCAATTGGGACGTGGCAACTCGAACTGCTGCACTTCGGTGCCAAGTTCTATGTTGAATCCAGACAGATGTCCCGGTGGATAAGTGTTGAATCATTCCTGTTACACATGTTTGCAGCTGATTCGATAAGTGGAGCTTCTGCTGTCAATCTCTGCATCCCCACACTGTTATATAAGATGCTAGAACTGTCATCCTATCCTATTCTATTGTATAGCTGTGTTGTGTGTAATTGCATGGAGTGAGTACTATAGCTGAACTAGTCTCCAGATTTCTTAGATTAGTGTCGAATCAACTAATCTAGATTTTGCTAGGTTTTTATGCTGCTGCGCTAGTCTGAATGACCTCGTTCCACTAATTTGACCTATGCATTTGATCTGACAGTCATTTCAGCAGGGTATTAGATAAATTAAGTTGTCTTGTTTAACTGGCTGAACTCCACAGGATCCTTTAACCGACAAAACTTGTTTCTAATTGAGTTTGTGGGTGGTTTGAATATCACTTTTAATCCTGTCTGCATTGTTAGGAATTCTTTGTAAAGTTTCCAGGGTTTCTGCTTTGTATGGAGGTACTACTGATGATTTAAATTCCCTATTGTTGGTGTTGTCGTTATCCTGAGCACGCTTGATATGCATATCATCATTATTAATATTATTATCGCTATCACTACCGTTATTATTAATTTTATTTCTACGTTTTCTTATATACTTTCTGACTAATTTATCAGGGTAATTATTAAGTTTCAAAGCTTCTGTTATATTCCTCATTTCCCGTCTTAGTGGGTCAAATAGACCAATCATATACCATGATGTGTAATTCTCCGACGACAAGCTTGTAGCCATCGCATTACCTATTTTATTATTATTATTCTAAGAGCTGGTTTGTAAGGATTAAATTTGTTTTTACGAGTTTGCCCACTGATTGACATTAGTTACAGAAACACTGAAAACCTGGGAGTACTGCCACATAGCTATTTCATCGTAGTTAGGGAATTACCGGCAGTACGCACCCACTGGAGTTCAAACCCAGGACCTTCCGGTTACAAGGCAAGCTCGTATACCATTCAGCCACTAGGAACCGATTCAATGGGCAAGAATTTTAACTTCTACTATTGCGTGATTTAGTCGGTTCCCAGTGGTTGAATGGTATACGGGCTCGCCTTGTATCCGGAAGGTCCTGGGTTCGAACCCTGACAGTGGGTGCGTACTGCCAATGATTCCCAAACTAGGACGGAATAGCTGTTCAGTACTCCCTGGTTTTTAATGGTCCTCTAACTGATATCAATCCGTGGTCAAACTCGAAAAACAAAAATCACCTACGAAAACAACCAATCACATCCAAGGTTACCAAGACAGATGACTAATAAGCCTGTGGAGAAATTCAAAACCTTACTACTTTCTTCTCTCGCTTTGCGTGCTACATGGAGTGTGGCGACTTGAACTGCCACATACCGGTGGAAAGTTCTATATCGAAAACAGACAGACAGACAGAAGTATGCGCTGAGCATGTCGTCCAATAAGACAATGAAACCTTCGCAACTAAACCATCCAGGTCAGAGAACACAACAACTACACCAAAAAGCGATAATTGTCTTACAACATGATTTGCACTGAAGCATGTTAGCTGGAACTCAGACTTTACATACTCCGGGTTATGAATGTGCGGCTCCTGGTTCAATCCCTGACTGGAGCGCTTTCTAAACCCTTGCCGAGCTTACTACCTCGGATATAAGCTCCGAAATAAAGGTAGGCTAGCAACCGGCTAGTCCCACTGAGAATGTAAAGGAATAAAGACGACGGTTCTGAACGATGCATACTGCATGAAAGCTGATGATAGTATACAGCTGCTAAAATGAAATATGTAGAGCGGGTTTCAAACCCGCAGGTAGCCATTGATTGACAGTCGAGTAATTGAGACAATAAGCATTTACACGTGATTCAAGGAAACAGATGCGGTATATTGACTAAGTTTAGAGAAGACAGATGTGATGAAGATAACCAACCAACCAGCCAACAACGACAACAACAAAAAGATAAACAGCAAACTCCAATCACTATCACTGGGAGAAATTTGAAAATGGTCACTTCCCTCACTTATCTGATAAGGGAGAATCGTTTCACCTACAGGCAGTCGGGACGGATGACGATGTCAAGACCCAAATCTGAGAATCAAGACAGACACTCATGACTTTGAAGACCATAGTATTCAGAAAAAAGGACAAAATTAGGATTTCCAACACCAATGTTAAATTAGTCAGAAACTTGACTAGCTCATCATGACAAGTACTTCTAACAGTTAGCTGCCTCCACTTGCTCTACACTGAACATCAGACAGACAGTCAGAAAGAATTAATAACAAGAAATCCTGGGAACGACCCAATTGAGAACCTATTACTCGACAAATATCCCGAAGAAAATGGAGATGGAAACCGTCAGGTGAAATTGTACACCATACCATCGCTTGAGTGGGACCCCATTGGGAAACGATAAGTGTGATGTGAGTCTGAGAGACTAAGGGTAATCAATGGGGTAAACTGATGAAGACTGTAGAGAACAGGATAAAAACGCAGACGTACTGTTGAAAGTCTATCTTCCACTCGAAACCCACGGGAATAATAAATAAAATAATTAATACTAAAAAGTTTCATCAATTCTGACAGGTTGGTGACTGATGTCCCCTCAATACGGGTATAAACGCTCATCTCCCTAAGTCATATCAACATATGTGGGATAGAAGAAAATCAGCTATTTCAAGCTGAATACATCAGACGAAACACGGGTAACACAGTTACCCTGTTAGCATAGTACTCAACAGGAGAGTTGAACATCAAATAAACACTTAATTAGATGCAAAGAAAGCAGGTTCGTATTAACAAGAAATATTATGATCGATCACATGTAAGATAACAAGCATAACTCACCATTATTCATTCCATACACCAGCCGGTTCCAATTGACTAAAGAAGCTGTTGTCGATTTCCATTCAATCTCTAGACGATAACAAAAACAGGTAAGTATACATGAGTTATCATAATGACATTTATATTGACCTCAAGAGTTCATGGGAAAATATTCTTCGGGACCATAAAAATATCAAGTAGTATAGAAATTTCAAAAACTGAGACGTTCTCTATATGAGGAGATAATACCTGATAGATGTCAGTTTGTGGCGTGTACTACAGACGAAATACTTGACAATCGAAAACCCAACAGTCCCTAAAACTGTCCACAGAAATTCAAAAAGGAAGTGTAGATTTTGTATTGATTTGCATGAGACCATGTGTCATGCCATCTGTAGTAGATACCCTAAATCACTTACAAAATACCAAGGTGTTAACAGTTGTAGACACCCTCCTCCTATCAGGTTATCAGTAGATACCTATAAAAAAAAAACAAGACGATAGAGGAGATAAGACAGAGTCCATTGCGGAGGCAGAAACAATATCAGTTTAAATGTAGGCTCTTCGGATTGAAAAGTACACCTGTTGTCAATAAACGTTTAATGGTGTTGCTGATTAAGAATTTGAGGAAAGTGTACGCTGACAACGCAGTCATATACAGTCATCAGACTTAAGTGGATCAATCATGCAGAACATGTAGAAGCTGTTTTAGGATGCATTGAAGTCTTCGAACTAGTGATGACGGAATATGCTATATGATGGGTAGACGCTGTCACGACGATGGATCAATACGTGCAAAGACTGTGACTGACATAGTAAAGAATGAAAGATCATTGTGAAACAATGTATAGAAAGCAGGAAAGAAAGCCCAAACTACTGAAACTGTGTACATCTTCAACTTCTTGAAGATTTTTCTATCTGAATCTGCAATTCAGTGAAGACTCGTAGACAGAAATTTTGCGAAAGATACTGTCCTGATCCTTTTTGGCGGATGAACAACTTTAGCTTTCTTCATAAAAGCAATCATTCGCATGAACACATGAGGGGATAAGCTATCACTGCCGACTGGCCTCATCAATGTATATCTATTAGTTCACCTCCTCCTGTGTTGAGTTAGGTATTGTCAGCCATACCCAGAGTTTGCTGTCCAAATGCACCATCAAAAACTTACCCTCATACTTGGTAGAGGAGAAGAAAGATCCCTCACCACAGCTTTCTGTCCCGGAACACTTGATCTAATCTGGTTATCTAGCAAACCTACAAACCAACTTCGAAGCCACCAACAGAATACGGAGGAATCTTGCTAGAAGAGTACGAATCAAACTTATTCGGACCGCAGAAGTAATGGCGATTCACACGTTAAATTACAAACGCTGCATGCATTCAGTCGGTAAATCTATACAATGGACTTGATCTGTATTGTCTTTTAAATTGCCTCCAAAGCCTCAGGATGGTCGGGGGTGGGTGTCTTGCGCTGCGGGCTAGCCACTCCTCCGTACACCTCTTGAAATGTTCCCATATGACCGTGCGTCTTACATAGCCTCTCCTGAGGAAGTCCTACTCACTGCCTTCACGTGGCGGAGGTGTTTTTCACCGAAGTGAGAGGGCAAAAGCGGATGCCCGGCGCTCTTCACCGGGTTGACTGTCCATTGGATGACAGTCTAGGGGAGATGGCTAAACCCTGATTCCAAACCTCCAACGACTGGCGTATGAAGCTCACCGGAGTTCACCGGCAGACGTATGGACAAAGAGCTTATTGGATGCCCTGGATGTCTGGCCCCATTCGAAAAGGCGTATGAACCGGACTCCGGTCACCGGCTGCCAATGGATAGTGGACTCCCTACTCCACTCCTACTGCCTTGTAGGTCACACTTGGCTGTGTAAAGGCTAGAGCTGCACTCTCAAACAAAAGGCCGAGCGATGCTGGGGACATCACTCGTACCCAATTCCCATGAAACTTCATCAACTCTCTTACAAACATTCGAGATGTTCATGAAGCCGGTTCATCCTCCCGTAGGAGATAGCCGAAGTAAAGTAAAAGTAAGTAAAGTCTTTTAAACTGTATTGGTTTCTTCCATCACCTCCTATTAAATTTCTACCCCCTTATTACCACTGTTGTTAAGATTGACATCATCGAGAGTAACTCTTTCGGGAACGTCTTTTCTATTAAGCTATTAAACTATAAATATAAACATGAATCTTCAAGTATTGGTTTCGTAGAGATTTTGTTTGATTGATTGGTTGGAGGATTTCATCATGAGCTGACACATCAGTTAGAGAACCACTGGAAAACCACCTGGGAGTAGTGGACAGTTGTTTCGTCAACCTGGTTTGGGACCCTTCATCAGTACGCACCCACCGCAAGGATTCAAACCCAAGACCTTCTGGTTAAAAGGCGAGCTCATAGACTATTAAGCTACTGGGACCCGATTCAATGGCCAGTCATTGCATGGATTCTAACTTCTGCCAATTCATGAAATACCTCGACCACTTCACAATGTCTTCTTCGATGAATTATTGTGAGGATATGGATGAAGTCCGATAGAGATTTCATCACGAACCAACATCATCTAAAGAAGTTGTGGCCAGTTGGGTATACTGTGTAGGGGTGAAGAGGATGTTCATCAGTAGCAATGACTGGTGGTAGCGTGATATCTCTAATTGACTAAGGTAACCGAATTCACGCTGAACCAGTAACCCGAAACGTTCTGAGTTCAACTCCTGGTGATGTCATGGGTGAGCGCTGCTAGCTGAAAAGTCGCAAACTAGGATGAAACCGCTGTTCAATGATCCCTAGTAGTAGTCTCAGTAGCCTCTAAAAGATTTCAGTTCATGACAAAGCCTAATTGAAACAGAACGAATTACTAGGTAGTGAAATAGTATGCAGACGCAAAAATTCAACCCAAGATGTACTTTATTTGATATGAAATGTGATGCTAGTCAAACGAAAGATATCTAAACAAAGTCACCTTCACCTTGCTATCTAGGTACAGAATCGTTTACACCATAGGCGATATGGATGAGAATGTTAAAACCGGTCAGGATAGGAAAGGCAAAGACATGGCATTCATTAATGTGAAATCATTGTGGAAATTCGATGCACTCAGCATTAACAACAAGAGTCGGGTTTTCAACACTTCCACACGAGTTAGAGATTTGGTGCGTGTGTTACCCAAAGCATTTCCAATTTTTATCAACACCTGCTCCCCAGGGCTGGTGCCATACCGAAGATGAGATAACCAGTCAAAAAGGACAGACTAACAACGAAGCAACCAACAAATATTCTGAAGGAAATGGATGTTGATTGAACGCAACCCACTGAAGAGACTGTGAAGGGATATCACGTGATAGGTAGGTAGGTCCTCAAGTGGAAGCCGAGTGGGAAACGACAAGTTGAACAGGAGTCCGAGGGTGACAAGAAGATGATCATGTGAACAGGAGGAGGAAGAGGTGAGAGCTTATAAGCAGTCGTGGAACCAGTTAAAGAGGACTGCAGAGAGCAGGATGAAATGGGGATGTTCTGCTAGGAACCGAAGGGTATAACAATGATAATTATAGTAAGAAGAAGCGTGTGTCATACAACATACCAAATAAACACACATGAAGGAATTGAAAATTAAAAACAAAAAGTTTACCGTCTAGTATTTGTTTCACTTTCATGTGTGCACTTTTCAATACGGATGGATCTTGTTGATTTTTATCAGTCTCCTTCTTCTCCTGAAAACCAGCCGGTACCAGAAATCCTGCAATCGGTTCTTCAGAGAATACACGTATTCTATCGGTCTGTTTATTGGTTTCATCTTCCATGGTTACATCAACGCTATCATCATCATCATCATCACCATCATCATCGTCGTCGTCTTCATCTGTAGAACTGGCATTCGATACTCCATCATCATCATCATCATCATCACTTTCGGCAGACAATAATGGTGCATCATTAATCATACGTACTTTATGCGTTTTATCCAATTGTTCATCAAGACCTCCGATTTCATCGAATGTCGCACGTAATTCGTCTAACATTGACTGACTGACACTTGTCGATTGATTATTGTTATTACTGCTATTTCCATGTCGAGATTTACGATTAGTCAGATAATGACTACCGCCAAGATCAATGTAAGTTGCATCACGATCAAATAAAACACCACCAAGACTAGACATTGGAGCGTAAATCTGAGGAGGAGGAGAAGAAGAAAGAATTTGTAAAGACAACAGGAAGTCAGTGCAGTCAAAATATCATTTGTTTGCAGAACACACGGAGAATGTTAATCAACGGGTGCTAATTTAAATACCTATATCTTCGTGACCTATGAACTAAAGATATCCTAGCCAACACAGTTTACTTATTGGGACATAGTATCAGACCAATCGTTGAATCTTCATCATGGGAATTTCAAAAAAGTATACGCGTGTCGACTGGAAACATTATCCAACAATCCAGTTCACAACTAATTAGGTTGTCTCCAACCTTCGTCAGTTCTTACTATCACCAACCAGGAAGACTACACCTCTATATGTGGCTACCTCAAACTAACTGTTGTGGATTTCAGTGACTGATAACAAGTCTTAGTTTGACTACCATTAGCTCTTTCCCAAGCTAATCCCATGTTAGCTAACATTGATCGTCGGCGAAGGCAATGGCTAAGCACGTAATCAAAAACAAACAAATGTCAGCCCAAAAGAAGTCTCCTATGTTCCTTATGCTGAGTAACAGCAAAAGCTTTCCAAACTGGTTTCAGGTTAATGAGGGTGTATCTTGCCTTTCCGATTCTGGCTGGCTCTGATATCTTTATCCGGGTTGCCCGACTGCCTGTGGTTGAAACCGTGCTTCCTGGCTGGACAAGTGAACGAAGTAACCTGTCAAATCTCTCCAGTAGACGGTGATTGGTGCTGGTTTTGTTGTTGTTACTGTTCGTTGGTTGGTTGGTTATATTCATAGCCTCCGACTGTCTTCTCCATGTTCACCTGGAGTCCCGCCTTCGCTGTCTGCCTCTTCAGTCAGTTTGTGTGACATTAAACATAACTTTTAACAGTTTACATCCATTCCATCTGCACTCGCGGATTCACAGCACTTCTCTGCCATATCTTCTCATTTCTCTGGCTACCTAGACAGCCTTCCCAGCAAGCAGCCTCATACACTTTACGAACATTCCACATACCCATTCTTATTCCTGTTTTCGTCAAGAGAAGACATAGCGGTTGACTGGATTCTCAAAGGCTTTCACCATCCAGTCCACTATGTCATTTCACCTCCCCGATTCCAGTGAAAAATGAGTTTCTTTTTCATATTTTATTTTTAACATTTCTATTGCGCGTTAAAGTTTCTGTAGCAGTTTGATTGGTTTTGTGGGAAAGGGTAGCTAGACTCACACCCAACCCTTCCTCTTTACCCGGGCTTCGGACCAGCTAGAAAACTAGCGAGCTAGTAGACTGGGTGAGGTCGGGTATTTTGATGGCGGACAGCATCATAATGAAGAAACATGAAACTAGTGCACTACCTATGCTTGCAAACTAACTGAATTAATTATAGGAAGAGAATGTTTCAAATGTCTGATCAAGTGACTTCAAAGGTTAAACCACAGAAAAAAATAAAGAACCAAATAACATCCCTTCGTCGAATATATCACAATCAACTGGTTCATAGAGAAATACTGAACGATGATCTTCTGATAGCATTAAAAGAATAAGACGTCTGTCGTCAAACAGTGACAAAACTGACTGTTAAACATGATAGATAAAAGTATGGAAATCTCATATTATTTGAAATATGTTTCTTTAAACTGGCATTACTAACATCGCATTTATAGCAAAAGGCGGCACGGTTTAAGGCAACTGGTTGTAATGAGACAGATTTAAGACAATTAAAAGCCACATAGTGAAAGCCCCATAAACAACCTAGTACGGCTGTGGGTGCATAGACTTCTGTCTTCCCCCTCGAAATACTCCCGTGTAGCCACGCAATCACAGTTTCTGCCACGTAACTCCGATTCATTATCTTCATACAGCGGGAGTGGCACTCACAAAAGTCAGAAGGAGACTGCAAACATCTGGAGCAGGTCTACCCAGGGGAAATAAAAAAGCCTGATCCAAAACCTGCAGTGTATACTGCCTACATAGTCCGATTAGATCAAATGGTGTATGAACCCGCATTTGTCGTCGCTAACTATAGGAACGTAGCTCCTGACGCTGCTCCACTGAATTGTACATCAGACTTTAAGTCAAAGCCTCGGGAAAGAGGTGGTCCCTTAAGACAATCACCTGCTTTGATCTGAGCATCTGACCGCTATCCCAGTCTTAGCACAGACCATAGGATTTTGTGTGCGTCGGTGGCATAGCCGTTAGGATGCTCGCCGACCATGCACATGGTCCGGGGTTTGATCCCCGGCCACCGACGCGCTCCTTTACCTCGATAAGCCAGAAATAATGCTGGTGAAGAGGAAAGGTTGGGCATGAGGCTGGCAGTCCCATCCTGTAAAATAAACACTACTACAGAAACTTCAAGCCGCTAGCTTGAAGCCTTATTTTCTACTGGGGAAAGTGAAGGAAAAAAATAGGATTTTGTGTAGCACACATCTTGGTGTTCATAACGTACTAAACTCAACCAAATGGTATGTATACATACAAATTTTTTTGATTTAATTAAACATGCTATTACCTTTCTATCACGTTCAGACAAATGTTTTGTTGTTTTAACCCCTTCACCGGCATTCGGTTGATTCGATCGACCCGGTAGAGGACACGGATCAGGTTGTTGAGTACAATCAGCCAGAGCGAAATCACCAAGTCCTGCTATATGTATTCCAGGTGATGTTAATGCAGGCGGCAAAGGAGCACCACGTACCCATCCATATAAACTAATACGACGATCAGTGTTTTCATCATCAGATAGCAATTTTTCATCAGTTATATCTTCTATCCGATCAATCAACAAATATGGGTGAGAGCTACGCCAATCTGATGGTCTCGGAGTTTTAACCATTATTAAGCGACCAAGACGCCGGACTTCATTCAACAAATAATCCCCTGGAGTTTCGTCGGAATTTTGTTCATCAGCTCTGTGTGAAGCATCTAAAGACAAAAAGATGGGCATAAACAAATAAATAAGTATGAAATCTGAAAAAAGCCATATCACTGACTTTATCCTTCAAACAAATAGAAACACTCCGAATTTGACTAAACTACTTCTAGGTTCAGTGTTGACCAACCATTAGAAAGAAGAAAAATGATTTTCTCGTTGACTGATTGAATCGAAATGTTCAGCCTCTGTTGACATGTCGGCGCTCCTTGTGATGGTGCTTCGATGATGTCTGGAGATTCAACAGATCCCTAACACTTCGGTCCAATCAATCAGCAGGAAAGTTCAAATCGAATTAAATAATAACTGACACCCTTGTTGCACGAGAGGTGGCTCTCGCTATCCAAGCGGCCTAGTGGATAACGCTTTCTCCTTTGAAGTGATGGGTACTGGGTTCAAGCCTCAGTGGGGGAACACCATCAATCACTGGAAAATGCAGGTAGGGTCAGATGATGAGTCCTAAATAGGATGAAGTGCACATCCTGGATTCCATTGTTAGTCATTATCCACCGAATTAAGTTCAGGTCTATTTGTCGATTTCGAAAACCAAGGATTTAAACAGCTTGTCAATTTTGAATTCACCTGCCTAAAGTTCTATGATCTGACAAAAAATATACGTTATCCTACTAAAGTTTTAAGATAACTACATAAGAAATATCCTAAACAAGGTACAAGGAGGTACAAACACGAAAGAACCAGGCAGGTTTTAGACCAGGGAGCGAGAGGGTGTATTGACCATATCTTCACTCTTCGACAGATTCTGAAATGTAGGCATACTTACTGGCTGAGTCAAACAATCGTCATATTTCTTGACCTAAAGACAGCATTTGATTCTGTCGACCGAGAGGTACTATGGCGATGTTTGGCTGTAAAATGAAATCTCGGCACGGATACAGCAGGCTAGTTTGTCATATGCCGAGTTACATCATCACTGGAATAGATGTGATATCCGCCTGGCTATCGACCAAAGGACATGTGTATAGCTCAGCAGTCCGCTCCACCCTCCTTTACAGCCAGTTACGAGACATGGCCATTGAGAGTGGAGGACATGAAAAGACTATCTGCCTTCGATCATAGGTGCCTGCATTCTATCTCTCGTGTGAAATGGTATAACAGAGTGAGCAATATTGAGGTTTAGGGTGGAGTGCTAGGTAAAGAGTAGAAATCAATAGACTAAGCTGTGAAGTTATATCGATTCAGATGGGATATGTGTTACGTATGCCTAGCCATCACCTTCCCTGATAACGGGTAATGTTAGCTGACATAGGGTTAGGCTGGAAAAGAGCCAGTAATGGTCAAACCCAAACATGGCACCAGTCAATGAAATCCACAAGTTAGTTTAAGCCACGTAGGAAGATGTAGACTTCCTCGTTAGGGTCTTCCAGACGGTAAACACCTATGACTGGAGACAACTGGTAATATGACTCAAAATCATTGTTAGCGGCGTAGATGCATCCACTCCTTGTGACTTATAATATCCAATAAAATTCTATTCTTCTTCGATATTGCTATTCTTTTCGCCTCATATCTCTGCTTAATGTCTCTGTTTCGCGTTTCCTTTTACTTTCTTCTCTGCCTTTGTGTGGTGAGTGAAGTGTGGCGATTCGAACTGCTCCAAATCGGTGCAAAGTTCTATGTTGAAACCAGTCAGTCAGTCTAAACAAGGTATTCGATTCCTTTAGAAAAAAATCGTTCAAGGCAATCGTAGTGGTCATATATAGGGGAGAAAAGAAACTCAAAACTGACGATCTCTGACTTTAAAACATTGCCTCTGCATAGAATTTCACAACATGCAACAACATCAAAAGTAGAAATTAGGCGCACTCAGTATCTTTTCGGTTACAAAGCGAGCTCACAGAACCTTTAGCCACTGGGACCCGATCTAATGACCAGTTCTTGAATCTCAGCTTCTGCAATATAGCGCAACCGCCAGCCAATGTCATATGCGAATAATTGATCTCTCATCTGACTTGGTAGACCCCACTGGTGGTTACGGCTCATCACTAGAACTCCAGGTAACTTCCTTTATAGAGCCAGCCACCAGTGAGCATAAGTTAATTATCAAATGGTGGTACTGGACATCTGTTTAGGACTCTTCATCAGGATGCACCCCCTGGGGTTCGAATCCAAGACCGTCTGATTAAAAGGTGAGCTCGACTTTCTTTCAATGGGTCTCGGGTTCGAGTTCCACTTCACAATCTTGGCAAATGGGTAGTGTCATTAGCTCCACACACATACACACAATAAGTATGACTTATACCTCGGTACTGTGATTGCACTGTAATTTTACACAGTATTAATGCATAGACAATGGATTAGTCAAGTGCGTTTAGTGCTTCACATAATATGAAGATTGCGTAAGACCTTATCGACTAGTCACTGGTGAAATCTCAGCATGCTAGACATTAATCAACCTGCACCACATTTAAAGATCTTTAGCTATCCATCAAAGGGAGTGTGTACTAGTCTACGCCTATAAGGCGAGGATACTGAAAGTAGGCAGTAAAAGAATAGCTGTATTTTACCATAAATGTCAATTCTTAGTGTAAATTGAAGCATAATGGTGGAAATATTTTGAGGTAAATAAACAAAGTTAATTGAAGTTGGCATGAATATTCATTCAACGATGTGGCAAATATGTGTTTCAGGCATTCAGTAACATCCCCTTCTTGGTAAGGTTAACTGAGTATACGATTACACCAATAAGTGTGGACACGTCAAGCCAAAATAAGACATCAATTTAATTAGTCATTGACTGTTTGTCTGAACCACGTATGGAGGTGAAGATTAGCAGCCAGGGGTTATCTGGATGCTAAGAACCAATGGTTGGGAAGTCTTCACGACACGTATGAAAATAATCCAGAATGTTACGGATGCAATAGCTCCATGTCATTCATGTTTTAATAGCAATAATAATATGACCACTTTATTCCAAACAATAATTTAATCCAATGAGTCTCAGACAGATATCCGGGTAGTTTCGCTAGTTATGAAGCAATGAAGTTTACAGTATACTACACAACGATTTGATTATAGGTCTCTGTTCTATCTCCCATGTTAGGTGGTATAATGCAATGAGTAATACTGTGATTAAGCGAAGAGGAAGTTAATCGATGAAGTTATGAAGCTACATTGATTGGAATGTTTTATACATGTTTTACGCAGGCCTAGCTATCGCATTTGTGTAGTCTGGAACAATATGACTGTACAGCTTTTCTTTAGATGTTAAAAATGGGAACACTACACTTTTGTTTAAAACGAATCATTGTAAAATATACATAACTTTGGGGTACAATCTAAAATACAGTATGCTGCTCAACGTTTCGTCTTCTCACTAATCCATCCTGTCTACTTGCTTCACTATTAACCATGCTGTATCCTTTGGATTTCGTAGGAACCCCTCATCCTCATCCGAAGACTATTCCACAACCGATGCACGGCTTCTACTAGTAGACAACTCCAGCAGTGAACACGTCTGTGGATTATATTAATAATTTGTAGCATCCGACTTAAACTGTATCAAAACACTATTAATTTACATAACTCTTTAACTCTATACTTTTTTATAATATGCTGTTAAATTATCATTTCGTTAACTCGGATTGCAATCCAAATATTTGTTCTTTTACTGAGCTCGCTATTAAGTCCCCTACACATTCCTTGACTGGCAGTGTTAGCCGACATAGCATCAGGTTGCAAAAGAGCTAGTGGTGACTAAACCAACGCATGAAATCAGTCAATGAAATCACAATACCATGGCGTAATTCATTTTGTCTAACATTTATAGTATTTTGTAACAATGTTCCTTTGCCATATGATGTGAAAAGTTAATTATAGAATCTCGATAACATACGGTAACTTTTGAAAACTTTTACTCATAAAATAAGGTTTTTAAGAAGGTATTGATTCAAAAATTGGAAATGAACCAAGTTGGGTTAACCCTTAATAAATTACTTTAAAATGATCATAGTGTTGAGAAAATCGAAACAAGAACTTCCTGAACGTTTCTCTGTATAAGCCACAATTGCTTAGCACGGTTTAACTATCATACAACAACCAACAGGAACTTGATTTTCGAGTGGCTTTTACAAAAATTTTAATTTTTAGAGTGGAGATGATTTAGAAGCAAGTGGCATATGGCAATTATGTATGTGGCGTATAGTCGAGTTTTCAGTCATCTATTTCGACTACTCCACAAATGTCAGAAACTTTTGCGATACTCCAGAGTATCCTGACCTAACAAACGAACAATTATTGCAGTTATACAGGTAATCACATTAACAGAAAGAGTTAAGTACTCAATGCATGCCTGATTAAAGACAAATTCCCATGACTCGATCTCTTAAAGTTATTTTTAATGCAACATAAGGTTCTGCTACTGACTGCATTCAAAAGTAAGACGTAGGCAGAAAATAAACCCTTCAAATGTCTACGGATCAGTAACATGCGGTTAAATACTCCACAACACGGATATAAATAAGCAAAACTCACATTTCTTTGGCTGAAAACGTGACAGAAGAAAAATCTTTGAGTTTAGATCTGTCCATAAACGATGTTTTATCTTCCTTCGCAATGCACGCGAAGAACTAGAATCTTTGAAAGTATCCAAATGGTTTAAAACAGGAATAACTCTTGGCATTCCGTGTGCTTGCACCATATTTATGAATTCAAAGTGATACATTTCAAGTCCAGCACGAACATTTACAAGCAGCAGAACTACATCAGCGATTTTAGCGGCATCTAACATACTGTTGATATCACATCCACATTCGATGAAAGTGAATCTTTCTTTCTTACCGACAACTACTGTCACTGGGCCTTTTAGAACACCAAGCGACAAATGAGCGAAGTGTTTTAACAAGCCACGTAGAAGTGTGCTTTTACCAGATTTCGGTGGTCCAACCACTGCAACTACGTACGGTGCGGGTACTTGAGACACATATCTGGAGTGTAATATATGGTGTCGCTTAGTCTGGTGATCAAGCGTTCTTTGCACTAGACGTGATGCCTTAGTTGTATGCTGAACAGCAAATGCCTTGGGATTATTTGTTCTGGCTGATTCTTCATCGCGAGGAGCCTTCTTCTCAGATTTACGTCCACTTTGACGTGGTCGATGCTTTTTATTATCTACCCTGTCATCGTCAACTTTTCCGTGGTCTTTGAATACCATTTGAAAAAAAGTAAGCTTGTTAAATCATAACACGTGTGTGAGTAAAGATCAGCTTGAATATTGCGTGACCTTGAGGGTCAGGGTTAAGGCATGCTGAAGGACACAGTTTGGCCTACCTTTATGAATTCAATGCTTTTTACCGAATGAACGGATTTAAGGTAAAAATTGACTGGTATTCCTGGCGAATTTAGACTTCAAGCACCAAGATGAAGATTTCGGAAAACATAATAAAATATATATATTCACAAAAATAATGAATATAGGGTACTGAAATCGTTAAACAAAATACATTTTTCTGATGTGTGACAGCGATTTTGCGCAGTTTTGGATTGGGACGCAAACATAGTAATTATATCATGTCCTATTCATGTATTCACCCAGTTTTTCTAACCCTGAAGCTAAGCCAAATCTTTTCTCAACCTAGCTCCACCGCAACACTACTCCTAACCTAACCCTGATCTACTTTGGACGAACTCTAATATCACCCTTACCAAGTATACCTAACTCTAACTTGCCCTTAACCCAAACTTGACGAAAACTGACCTTACCCTATTTAATATCAAAACACTTCGTTAAGCATATTTTATACGTGATTCTGATGTTATTTGACTACTTTTACCCACTGGTTGATTGAGTGTTCCTAGGTGATTGCTGCGGTCGCACTCGTTTTGTGCATTTTGTTACTGAAAGTTTAGCTTCACTGTATTTCTAAGATACACAGTCTGGTAATGACTTTCAAACTTGGGGTGTACGGGTAATACGTCGGCACTTTTCCGTTAGAAAATGGGCGAAGGGGAAAAAACTGGGCCATTTTCGAAAATGACATAGGGGAACCGAGTGAAAGAGGTAAGCTGTTTTCTAGAGACATGGATAATGTGGAAGAATATGGCAAAGCAGGAGGAAAGTGGGAAGAAGTCACTGTTGTTATTGTTTAACAATGGTAGAGAGTCTGGCTGATATTGGCTAGACTAGTGAAGCCACATCATAGTGATATATTCCCTGTTAGTGTTTAAAGTGGCTTTCATAAATTGCTAGACTTCAATGGGTTTTTGATGCCAGTGGTCACTAACACGGAACATTTATTTGCACAGTGTCCACATATCAATTACAGGCATGTTAGCTTCCGTCTTTATGACGTTACCTGCGATAAACCCGCGAGATTGGATGTAATTTATAGAGCCGGTCAACACAACAGGAAAGAGTGTGAACGCTGTTGCGTTGCTGGAAAGCATGATAACCAACGCATGCTATTCAGTATTGTAAACAGCTACAGTAAAATAGATAGCAGCCTAGTAATGAGGATGACTACTGTGACCACCGTGACACGTCCATGTTTTGAAATGCAGTCACTTCCATAAGGTTAATGAACAAACACCGACACAACTGAAGGCGCATACGACCATGAGCAGGGGAAGTGAGACTTCAGTGACTGGCGGTATTGAAGTTCGTGAATTGTACGGAGTATACTAACGCAAGATCTTATACCAACAACCTCTACAGTATTCGTTTCTCCTGGACCAAATGCAAAGTAAAAGAACAGAATTGGTCGTCCAAATTACGAGATATATTCCTGGACCAAATCGTGGACTGAAGCGTAAGCTAAACTGGCTAGTGATTGTGCGCGAAAGGGACATGATGAAGTACCAAATGGTGAGGATGCTTCGCCAGAAGCCTTCAGCTAAACAAGTCGACTTAAGCACTAAGGGTCAGCTTCCAATGTTCACTGATGATTCCTATGGTCAATAATTTTGTGGAATTATTTACCTCTACAAAACCGTGGAATTCTTGATATTTGTATAAAAGCATTAGGAGAAGTTCAAGAACATTGTACAGGATGCTTTTCTTATAACGCTGCTAGAACGGGTCCCAGTTTCTCAAAGTACTGTTGTTATTCATCTGAAAGGCAATCATTTGCCGTCAGGGTTATGCTTGTACTAGTGTCACGTTAGGTATATATACTGGTCAGAATATCATTAGTTCATGGAAGAATTAGGATTACAGTTAAATTTTGGATAGACTTAGGTGAGGATAGGTAGGGGCCACGAAGCGCACTTTGAGTTTATTTTGATGTGTTTTCCTGAGCACACCAGTTTAAACAACTTTACGCCCATGCAGGCAACTGAAACTTTCATCCCTTGGTCTGTCCTAAGGAATCGAAAACATTGCCCACATTGGATAAACCAAGAAATCCATAAATTACGCATCCGTAAACACAAATCTGGGAGCCTGTTTGCCAATCACGGATGAAGTTCGGAGAACATCTAGCTAAAAATGCAAATGCGCAACCTAAGAAACTTTTTCGGCGCATGGACTTCAGGAATAGGACGTACAATGCTGTCTCAAACCTGGCTATTGACAATAATACAATCTAGGATCAAGAAAACGCAGAAGCAATAGCAGAATACTTCTCCCAAGTCCTTACACAAGAGTCGTAACCCCTGTAGGATCATAGGACCAGCTCTGGCTGCATCAGAGGAATACGGGATAGATTCCTCTGACATCAAACGAGACACCGTGCCCAGCTGCTCAAAGAAGACAGATGCAGGGAAAACAGTGTGTTCCATTAATCTTCACCAAGGCTTCTCAAAGAGCTATCAGCTCACATCACCGGCCCACGATCTCCAAGCTATCTCTCACGAGTGGAGTGTTACCGAGTGACTGAAAGACGCCACAGTAACCCCTATCCAAAAAGGAGGGTCAGGGCAAAACTTTTCAAATTACAGGCCTATTAGTCTCACCAGCATTTTAATCAAGACGCTGGAAAGAATTATCAAGAAAAGCATCATGGCATATCTGGAGAACAACAAAGTATCCAGAGCACACCACGGCTTCCGAAGAAACGTCTCATGCCTGTCAAATCTCCTCACTGCAAGAGAAAGCTGGTCAAATCAAGAGACAACAGAAGGCCTTTTGACGTCGTCTTCATAGACTTCATCAAAGTTTTTGATAAAGTTCTTCACAAAAGAATACTCATGAAGTTGGAAAGTCTTGTTGTCAAGGTCAGCTTACCACAATGGATCGGGTAATCCCCTATAGATAGGAGACATAGGGTCAGGATCAACTCAAAACTCTTCTCCTGGACAGCGCTGTGTAACGGAGTGCCACAAGACGCTGTACTCAGGCGTCTCCTATTTGTTTTGTACATCAATGAGGTGTCTCTGGTCACGGATTCCCCTGTAGACCTATATGCATTTGACTCAAAAATCTGGAGAGAGCTGAAGGACGACAGTGACAGCAGTACCTAAATGAGAATTCACGGATTAATCTCCAGTTACTCCGTCTATAATATCTTCATCGAGAGACCAGAGGCTTGCATATTTTCTTATGTACTCCACCTTGTCCCTAGATCACTTAAACCATCGCATAATATTGAGGATGTACGACATACAATTACTCACAAAGTTGTTACCACTGGCCAGCCTGTTCGAGCTCGTCATCGTAGACTACCCCATGGCAAGTAAGCAGCAACTCAGGGAGAATTTGAACACATGACGCAACTCGGCATGATCAGACCTTCCAATAGCCCTTGGTCTTCACCCTTACTCATCGTGCCTAAAGCTGAGTATAACTAGGGACCATTTAGGGGGTTTCGGCATTTAAACAACGCCACAGTCCCGGACCGTTTTCCGATTCCTCACGTACATAATTTTTCCTTGACATTACATGGTAAAACCATTTTTTCCAAGTTGGAAATGGTCAGAGACTATTATCAAATACCGGTCGCTGCAGAAGATATTGAGAAAACAGCCATCATCACATCTTTTCGTTTGTTCGAATTTCTGCGCATGCCGTTCGGTCTAAATAACGCCGCACAATCCTTCCAACGTGTCCAGGATCGGGTCGCACAAGGCTTAGATATTGTATATGTATATATTGATGACGTTTTAATTGCCACCTCATCGGTTGAAGAACACATAGATCACCTTGCCATCTTATTTCAGCGTTTTAAGCGATATTCCATCGCTATTAATCCCTAAAGGCTCATATTCGTTGCCTCCTCTGTACAATTCTCGGAACATCACATAACGGAAAATGGTGTTAGGCCTATGGAGGAAAGGATGGAGAACATCGAAAACTTCCCCGAACCAGATTCACTCAGGAGGGTCAGACGTTTCTTGGAGATGTTTAACTTCCATCGACTTTTTATCCCTTCATTTGCCTCCATTGTACCAACTATAACCGATCTTATCAAATGGAACTCAAAAAAGTTCCAACTCTCGAATTAAGCGAAAGAAGCATTAGCTAACACTAAAGAAGCGTTATCCAAGGTTATTGTACTTTCCCACACCAACCCTAAAGCATCTCTGATTTCGTGCACCGATTACTCGCAAGTTGCATTAGAAGCTGTGCTGATACAGTAACTCCTCTTGCTTTCTTTTTAAAGAAATTAGAGCCGGCTCAGACGCGTTGCAGTACGTTTTGTGGAGAGTTGCTAGCCAATTACTTAGCAATTAGGCATTCCCGTTATTTGCTTCAAGGTCGTCATTTCACGATGTTAACCGACTACAGACTCCCGCGCTACGCTTCCACTCACCCAGAAAAACTAGGCACATTGATTGCATCTCTCACTCCTCGACCGACATACAGTACATTAAAGGTGACGCCAATGTAGTAATCGACTCTCTCTCCATGATCTAAATCAACTGCTGGAGTCAACAGACATCAGCCTCGATACCCTCGTAAAATTACAGCGCGATAACACTGAACTTTTAACTTGTCGAGGGAGATCCTCCTTGCAAATCACGGATATACCTGTTCCCTTACCCTACATCACCATCATCAGAGACGCATCTACAGTTGTCGATCGACTGTTTGCTCCACAAATCTGTCGCCTGGTATTGTCCAATCATTTGTATGCATTATCGCATCCGAGTGTGCGAGCTACAGTCAAGCTAATAAATGAGCGTTTCCTATGGCCAAAGATGAATTCGGACATTCGACAATCGGCAAGCGAATGTCTACATTGCCAGTACCCGAAAGTTCATGGTTATACGGTCATC